CAGAGATCCTATCTTTATGCAGTCTAGCTTGATTTGATAAATGATTTTTAGTTAATTGGATATAACATGTATTGGAAGCTGGTTAACCAATCATAAAGGTGATAAATTTTTTGTAACCAGGTGGGTTTGAACCCTAGACTTTCTTTTTGTGACCTATGAAGTATTACTACTATGCTATAGACCCATATGTCTTTATAATTATATTATTATTTATTTATTTATTAATAATTATATATATGAATTAAATATAAATAATAATAAATTAATAAATAAATTAATTAATTAATAAAAGAATATATAAAAATAAATATAAACAAATTTTTTATTAATTTTTTTGTCAATTAAAAAACAAATGTTTAAAAAATTATATACAGTATATAATATGATGCAAAAAAAATAATAATTTTTTTATAATTATATTTTAATTAATAATTCAAAAATTGGTTTTTTTTTATAACTTAATATTTTATTAATTTATTTTTGAAGATATAATAAAAAAAACCAATTAAATAATTTTAAAATGATAATAATAATTTTTTTAATATATTTTGTTTTAAAGTTAAAGATATTATTAAAAATTTTGATTCAAAAATAAGATTATAAAAAAATTTTTTTAAAAAAATTATATATAAAAATGTTAACAATGTTTAGAAATATTTGTATAATATTTTTATATTTATAAATTTTTTTATCTATTTTCTAATTACTTTATATATATATATTAAAAAATATTAATATATTGATTAAAATAATATTAAATAAAGTTATTTATAAGATATTTAACTATATATTTATAAATATTTATTAAGTTATAAATACAAAAAAAATATAATTATCAATTTTTTTGCATTCTACTGTATATATACAGTATATTATAATATTACTATTTAAATACTTTACTTTTTTTTTTACTTAATTTTTTTTTTTTTAAAAAAAAATAGATTTCATATATTTCTGCAAATAAAATAAAACAAACTCTATTTATTAAATAAAATACTGTATGTAAATATTTATAAACAATTAACAGTTAATATGTATAATATAAAGATAAATAAAATTTTATATACTGTATAACAATTTTTATTTTAAAAAATTATAATTTTATTTGTTTTGTTTATATATAAAACATGATGACAAGAGAATTATATTATGTTAAAAAAATGTTAAATAACATTTATGATAATCCTTTTTTTTTAAATAAAATTATTTGACATTTCAAGATGACTTATAGCAAATTTTCTTTTTTAAAAAAACAACAACAAAGAAAATCGGATAAGAATTAGTTAAAATTTATTTATTCCGTTTATTTACTGGTTCTTTATAAACAAGAAAAGTCTATTGACATTTTGTTAACATCTTGCATATACTGTATACATGAATCTGTATCTCAAATATTACTTTAATAAAGTTAACAAGGCAAACGCACATCATCAAACAAATATTTTTCGTGATTACATACAGTAAATGATTACGCAACGCACATCACACATACTGTACATGATGCCATATGGAGAAACCGATAGAACTTTATTCCAGGTGGATTTTTTGATTGTTTGTATAATGCTTTGTTAAAGTTAATTAAATTCTTGGCGAAGAACCCCATAAAATGAGTTTTTTTTTGGGAAAAAGAAAATCAGTTGAATGGTAGTTACTGCATATCAGGTGTTTGTTATTTTTTCATTATAGCAATAATTCTTTGACAATTAAAAATTCTGGATTTATTGTACGTACTGTATATGGTATACACTAATAGTAAACATTATGTCATCATTATAATAGCTACACCGTATATGGTAAAACTTCAATGCACGCTCAGACATGATTTTCATATAGTTCCGACGGAGTACAGAATCCTATTCACGCAAATTTTCCGCGATCCACAAAAAGAATATTCACGTGACACTGAGGTCCTACATATCCTGTGTTCTAAGTGAAACAAAACTTTTCGATGTCATTTGTGTTCACCGTAGTTTACATTTTCTCTAAGCGCAGTATTATTAACAACAACTTAATAGAGGTTTAAATTAAGTAAATTTACTTTATATCTATAAACTTGAATACCTGATATTTATTCATCTATATTAAATGCATGAAAAGAACATATAATCGACTTTAAAATAAAGTCGTAATATATACAAACAAAGTCATTATAGACAAAAACAAACAAACAATGATTACATTAGATATTCAGCATTTTGACTTAAATCGATAGCATACTGTATATACAGATTACAAAAATGGATGCAGACTAAAGTAGAAACTAATTGAGAGTTAGAATTGAGAGAGATTATTCTTATTGTTATTTTGTAAGGTAGGCGTCAATAAATGTGTCAAGGATTTGGCTTCCGTTAAAATTATAATCACGGGTTTAGAATTATTGGAGACGCGTTATTATTCATTATTGAACAAGATTTGCCACCAACATTTTTGGACTTCTCGTCTTCGGGCCTCTTTTGTTAAACTTGTTGGAATAGGTACATTCAACACCACGCTTTTTACATCGGACGCATTTTCCCGGATATTTCGCGATATTTTCACGGATTTCATGGATTTCATTGTCGGAAATCAACGACGATATACTTAAATCTTTCTGATCAACAAAATCCTCGCATTTAAGTCCTCGATTAATTGTAGGCAGACTGAGTTTTTCGCTGTCTAAAGCTTGACAACATCTGGTTTTTGATTTTCTACAATTTATACATGCTTGTTTGGCATATTGATGACGAATTCTGCGGGGTGCCATATTTAAATGATGTGGAATATTACGAACGACAATAAACTTGAGGTTATCAATGTTTTTTCTTGGAGTTTTTATATCTACGCTTCAGGAGTCTAAAAGGCTCGAACGGTTAGTAACTTCTCCAGCCATTTTCCCTTCCGATAAATATCCCATAGGTGTTTTTTTTCACGTGTTAGAAGCTAAATACGATTACTTTTAAAGAAATAAACAAAAATGATCCAAGTTATACCTCGGATAATGATAGAAATGAATGATTCCTCTATTGACAAGTCATTTATTTGTTCATTTGTTCCGCAATTAATACATAACTTTAAACATGAAATTTCCGTCAAGACTTTCGTAAATGATCTACCGCATATCGGCGTAAGTCGGTGGTAATACAGGTATCTATATTGAGATGATAAGAAAACCATTGATCATTTCCCATTCGGTTTTTTAATACGTCAGAGCATGCGGAATATCTCTTTAAAATGGATTTTTAGAGAATGTCCAATAGCTATTATTTCGGAGAAAGGTTGCAAGAAAAAGAAAGAAAAGTTGATTTTGTGAATGAGAGCCCATCTATACAGTATATACTGTACATTCTGTATATACTGTATACCAAAAGAAGATTTATAGGCATACTCTACGTGTGAATGTGTAAATGAAGGTTGCTACCCTTATAAATAAAACTCTGTAGTGAATCTCGATACATTCTTTTGAGCTTTACGTGCAAAAAATATGTTAAACGAATCAGTTATTCGACTTCTGCTTCTGTGAAATTTAAAGACTTATTGCACATCTTCAGCAGAAATTCCTTTAAGTTTCTCAACATTTCGGATTATTAAGTGAAATTTATGTCATATAATTCTAAATCTTTTAAACCTAACCTATATCCCCGTTTACTTGTCAACACCATATTTATCTGGTATGACGTGATTATTCAAAATCCAAATTTATTTCTATTGTCCCTATTGTTGATTGGTAATAGAAAATGATTTTAACGGCGATATCGTCAAAGATAATGTTAATAAAGTGCGCATTTACGCTGAATCTCATCGCCAAAACGAGATATGGTACAAGTACGGTGTTTACGTAAAATAGACATTCGAATTTTCATTCGTCAAATCATGAATGTAATATGATTTGAAATGGTCAATGATTTAAATTTTTCTTGACAGATTGGTATCAAAAGCATCTCCCTCTCTTCGTTCGCGCGTTTGTATGTACTGTTGCCAATCGTCATCGCTAACGTGTCTGAGTAAAATACAGCAATACTTCATATTGTATATTTTATCGGGATTATTATCATACGTATACTATATGTACAAACATTAAGGAACCCATTGTCAAAAGAAATTTAAAATAATTGTCCGGAGCTATGCGAAGGACATAATGTTTAGGAGATAAGGGTATCAACTTAATATATCTGTTATATCTGTCTCAAGGGAAACTGCTAGAAATACAGTATATTTCACAAGAGAGTTTTCAATCGCAGATAAATTCAACATGCTTACCTAAGAGTTGGAAAAATGATTAAATCAAGTAAAACCTGGAGAGGACAAAATATCGAAAAAATGCATTAAAAGAGACACCTATCATTTCTCTAACATAATATTAATCAGATAAATGATTTAATACTAATTAGTTAATATCAAATTATTAAGTAAAAATAAAGCAATGTTAAAGAATTGAAAATTATATTTAAAAAAAATATTTTTTAAATAGTTCTTTAAAATACATATCAATATGCTTCGGACGCACAACGGTTTCCGTTTCCTAGTAATAGTAACAATTCCTTTTTATCTAGGTGATAATTAAAAAATGTTGCACTGATCGTTTGGCCTTGATAGAAAAACGGTAATGCAACACAGCAACTAATGTAACAAACAAAAACATTGAAATGACTCCCTAAAGTCAATGAGCTGGCGGGTTTTTGTCGGTTAGAGTATTTAAATAAGAATTACAAAGGCTCTAAAAAAAAAAAAACGATTACACACATATACTCTATATACTGTATGCTATTAAATATTTGACTTGGTTTGAAAGGTTTATGTTACGGCATTTCGTATTTAAACGACAGAATATTCCTTTGCTCGCTAGAAAAAAAAAAGAAAAAAAAACCATTTTTTTTTTTTTTTTTGATAATCTGTCCTGGTTCTCTCTTCACTCTAAAATTATATTTTTTATATTTATGATAAATGTGAAGTGTCATAATACAAACGAACTGTAGGTTAAAGCACACATCATCTGCAAAAAAACTTACATACTGTATCTGGGAATGAATAAAATTCACCATTCTCATATTCATAGATTGCGTACTCGTACCCATGTGACTGTTGCATGTACAAACTGTAGACGACTAAAGAGGAGGTGTAGTGGAGAGCCCGTATGCACAAATTGTGCCAATCGAAGTTTTGAATGCATATTTGTTAGATCCGGAAAGAAACGTGGAAGAAAATCGCAAAAACCACCTTACACTAATGGATCTGATGTATCTGCGCATGAACATCCATCAGCTCCGAACATGAATAATGATAATAATGGAACATTCTTTCCAGTGTCACAAAATGTTCAAGGTCATTTAACCATAGATCCCTTTCAATTTATCCGTAACAACGACCGACAAACTCCGAATGAGAATTTAACCTATGGAATCGACGGAATTAATGTTGCTGATGGTCACCCGACACAATACGGTTTTTGTACTGATTACATTATGATGAACATCAATGAACATCGAGATTTATGATTTACGTTTTAAGTTTTATTTATTTTTAGTAAACATCCAACCTTATATATTGTGTTGCTAAACAGACGTCACGTGCGAAGACATATATTGTATACTAAAGACAAGAACTAAAGGTTATTAGAGCACACACATAAAAAAAAACGAAATAAGGAGTTATAGTGTGCTCGAAAGGATAGAATCCGTAACCCACACATGTCATCATTATTTACTCAATTCTAGAAATGGTTTTTTGCGTGGAAAAGAATATATATGTGCATTTGCTTAAAAGAGAAATTTCAATAAAAAGAATAAATACATTTTTTAATGGAAAAATAAGAACAAAGAGTGTTTTATTTATAAAAGAATTCACAAAAGGTATAATTCTTCCCACAGATGAAGATTGCTCTTCTTGGCGCTGCCACGCAATTCTTGTAATCTCATCCTTGCATATACTCCATATTTGCTTTCTATTGCACAACAATCCATTCTATCACAATTATATCACGATGAATCCATACCCTTCCATCGCCAAGATTTACTATATCGTCGGATTTCTTTTCCTCTTTCGGTAACGATATTATTACAATGAATTTACAAATAAGTATTCAAGTGAAACATGTAAACCAAAAAAAGACACAATGAAAGATTTCTCAGGTCAATTGAAAGAATACATTGTAAATGATAAGCTTCCTGTGCACACTTTTTGGCAACCAAATCCTATGTCACAAGAATCGATAATAATTTGAGATTAGTGCAAAACCCACGAATGTGATTAGTTAATTATCACGTACACAAAGGATTTTTGGTCTCACCGACTAATCTGATTATGTCAAATGATTCATATTGACAACACCGCAGACGTAAAAATCAATGTTATCACATCGTTAGCCATTTACAGTAAATGCGTACAGTATTTCCACTAAGGTTGGAACGCGTGCACAATGATGTCTTACCATAAGAAATAAAATAATATGGTAATGTATTGATCAACAAAGTTCCTTTGCGACCATTTTGTTTATGATTCTTTGTAAGACAACCACGAATAACGATTCATTTTATTCGCCAATAATTATCATTTTATGAATAGATCAATCCAGAGATCCCTTCTATGCATTATATTTTTTCTTGACCGGACTCTGGTATAATGGTTAACTATAGGCAAATAGGATTGGAATTCGATGTACTGTTTAATGCGATTGTTAACACTTATCATATACTGTATGTGAATGGTTATAAGATCCTAATGTACTGTGCGTTCCACAATTCCGTGTAATAACTCACGCGTTCACGAAAACTATTTTCGAAACCTTTAACTTCTACATTTATCCTGAGGTGGCTCAATGTTTCTGTATCGGGTAGAGTGAAGACCCTACGAATACCGAAACCATTCACATACAGTACAATAGCGTCGCCACTTTTACTTTTGAATTGTATTTTCCCACCCCTATGAGCATTTACCAAATTAGTTTGATGTTCTCGCCCTAAAATGACGCCTTACAATCCGGTCATTACCAGGTTTTTCATGCACCATTGTTTGGTCAACGACCGTTGTGGAAGCATATCCATAAAATCATTTTTTTTTTTCGTTCTTTGTTGTGTATTGATCATCACTGCCAAATATGATAAAAATTTCCTATTTGTTCTAAGGTTACCATAAAAAATATGATTGGGGGGGATTCATTTATAAGCTAACTACAGTATTATGTCAAATAGCAATTTCCTTCTCCCTAGAAAGACAAGTGAGGATGATGATTCGCACGGTCACGACTATCCGCGCGCTATCTTCAAACAATTACAAATCGCTCGAGGATATATCGGTAAAAATCAAAATATTCATACTCGAACTCTAATGATTAAAGGGGATATAATTTTAATATGCATTTTAATAAAAGCAAGTAAACCTCTACGATGTTATTCAAATCTTAAAGTTAATCTTTATTTGTTTAATCGTAAAAATCTTAAAAAAATTTTTTTTTCTACATCGAGGAAATTATTGTGCATATAGATTATACAGGTGATAGAAATTATTTTGCTGTTAACTCCATTCCAAAATTCTCAAAAATAATTGCGTCATTACTCAATTATTTATGTTTTATATATTCAAAGAAAACCTTAAATTAATGATAATGGAATGAACGATGGGCTCCTTTCCATCGAGATCTTGATGAAAAGAAAGTGAGAATGTAATCTAAAAAAGGTTGCATATGGTGCGGGAAAATATTGATGTGGAAGTTCTTAAACGAGAAAAAAAAATAAAAAGAATGTTGGGTAAATTTAAAGGGGTTTTCAGAAAATCAAAGGGGACATATTGATGTGGAAGTTCTTAATTGAAGTCTTATTTCATTCCAAACGAAAAAAAAAAGAATGCTGTATATAGTGAGCGTAAATTTAAAGGGATTTTCTGAAAATCAAAGGGGAGATACTGTATTTATGTGGAAGTTCTTAATTAAATCTTAGATTTATTCCAAACGAAAAAAGAAAAGAATGTATTTCATTCAATAAAAAAATCATCATTGATTACTAAGATATTGTATTGACCATCATATTGATAGAGTTGGTAGTTGTGAGAAGCTTGTGGACTCTCGGCGACATCTGCATCGAAGACAGGTTGCTGAATGAAAGCATGATCAACATAATATTGATCATTGTTATTGATCGGTGTTTGTTGATTATGATCAGACGATGTGATAGGAGGCGGGGTTGCTTGAATATCTGAAGCAACAGGGTCCATTTCAAGCAACGTATCGTAATGTTGTTGATCCGACTTATTGTTAGGCCTTCGACCCCGGGGTACAAAGGTACGGTCGAGTGTGCACTCAACATTATCATTCATACATTTGATACAAGGAAATTGGTCAGAACATTTCCTTTTTTTTTTATTGCACCTATCACAAGCTCGTCGTACATAGCGATTACGCATGTTAGGCATTGCGGGATGCGAAAAGAAATACGCTTTATTTACAGTATATAATGCGAAGACTTCAAACGATGTGAAAAGAAACACGCTTTATATATATAAAAGCGAAAACTTCAAGCGATGCGAAAACTTCAAGCGGTGCGAAAACGAACACGCTTTATTTATAAAAATAACGATATGTTATTCACGTGCGAACACTTATGAAAGAAAAGACGATTTTTATAATGCTATTTTGTTTTGTTATTTGCGGGGAATGCGAGATCGGATTACGTACATTACGTACGGATTACGTACGAGCATCTTTTAATTTTAAGGTGTAGCATTCCGATATAATACAATGACATTAGGAAATTTGTAAATTAAACGTTGCAAACTCCAAACGGCTAAATATTCGGTAATCACGTCAATTCCAACATAGAACGTTTCTATCTATACCTCTTGTTTGATGTAACGCACACACGTCTAAATGTCATACTATCAAACAGTATTACATTTATGAAAATACTGTACTTTTTAAGGAAAAACGTTGATCAAATGATCTTGGTGAAACAGATGTCGTTTATTTACAGTAAATTAATTATTTGCCATGAGTTTTAATCAATAAACTTGGATCCGTAAATGCTGTGCATACGCATATACTATGTTTACTGTCAAAACAAAGCATTTTATCATTTCTCTTGCCAACAAAGATAGTTCGAATAAATGAACAATTATTGTTTTTTAATTTTAATAAACGCATGTGCACAATCAATCAAACAGCGATAGACAGAACATATGTTTTTTTAAATAGATTTAATAGGATTAAACCAAACGATAATGGAACGCAGTATTTTAATAAACAATTTAATGATCATTTAATTGAATATGCTATAATATTAGATTCCAATAGTCAATATTCTATAATAAACGAAAAAAAATTTTATTGTATTAATTTATGCTTGAATCTTGCATACATATAACAATAATAAATTTTTATGTGTAATATTAATTCAAACCTTTTATTTTATATTGTTAATGTAATGGCGTAAGCGACTTTGTTTGATAAGGCCTCGCGTTTAATAAAATCAAATGAGGCGAGCATATTATCTTTACTATTTTAACCGAAAATATTTTTATAAAGACTCCGTCTTTTATTTTTATTTTCATTTTCGGAATCCGATAATGCCGAGCCTTCTGACGTTTAAGAATTTCGATTGATCTCCATTGTCTCCGAACCAAAATTGGATTTCAAATCAATCAAATCAATTGACGGGTCATCATTCAAATTCGAAAAATTCCAGTCTCGGATTTGAAATTCCCTCATCAACCCTTTTTCACTCTAAATATTTTAAGCCATTAATGGCATAAATTATGGAGTTTACTTACATCAAAATTGGGGTACGCTTAATCATGTCAGCGTGACTCTCCCTTTTATTAAAAGAACATACGCTATTATAATATTGCCATAAGCAAAGGTCGATTCCCTGAAGATCGACAAACGCCTTCTATACTTGCGGGCATCCTATTAGATAATAATAGTAGCAATTAGGATACTTTACACCTGTACTATCTCGAAAAGGTTCTTCAAAATATTTACCAAAATACTCGTCCACGATCTATGCTTTTAACTATTGAATGTAATAAACGTCATATTCATATTCATAATAGTATATTTTTTCGACAATTACATATATCTTTTCTAATTGTTCGACGTCCCTCTTATAAACAGGGTAAGGCCCTTAAATTGAACTTGATTAGCATAATTATGCTCTTTGGATATTCGCCACCAAACCAAACCTACTTGCAAGAGCCAAGGTTATCAACAACATAACAAAAAATGATGTCGCTGTAAATTTCATTATTTTATATCTGAATGTTTTTAATATCAATAAACTTTTCGGGGAGAGTAGAAGTTTTTGAAGTTACAAATATGTGTGACGCATTTATAAGTGCTTGCGCACATTAAAGATAAGATACACCAAGTCATGGCACAGTGTGGCTTTTAACGAAAGTAAGTATGCAGAAAGACAAAACACAGGGGGAAATGGCTTACAAATAAGCAAATGAGTGATGATGCGCAGTTAGGCTTTCTATCGTTAGTGGCTTTGTGTGAATGCTGGACAATTTTCTCATTTGATGTCATCTCAGTCATCTAATAACTCAAAAAATAATATACGGTATATAATATTTTCTTTCTTTCTTTCTTTTTTTTTTTTTTGTTCAGAAAATTACGAATTTTATTAGATATCTTTGAATGAACATTCGCTTCAACATCTCAAAAAGGGATCGCCGATGTTTGCAGAAGCACCACATACAGCTCACCCTCGATATATCGAACGCATTTTAATATAGTATAACGAAAGTTTTGGTAATTTTTATATAACGAATTTCTGAATGTATATCTAAAAAATATTATTGTTGAGTTTGTTACTACCTCGCGTTAGCATTCGTGTAACTCTAGGCTCAATTTCATTTGTAATCATTGAGGCGTATTATTTGTCCAGGCAAACACCACAATCTTTTTTTCTTTTTTATTACTTCCAACGCAATGGCATCTTCTATATCCCAGAATCTAAGAATCCAAAAAATATGTATGCAGTATATGCTAGTCTAATTACAGCTCGGTTTAGATTTCGAAACATCCGAAAAAAAGAACAAAGAAAATTTCCTTTTTAAAAATAATTCCAAAGTTAAAAAGGACAATGAACTTGATGACGTTACATCAATAGCTACATTGAAATTTAAAATTTATATTAATTGATGTTAGACAATAAAAAGTTTATGGTGAGTGCGTTTAAAGTATTTGTTTATAAAGCTTTTTAAAATGGCTGTTATGAACCAAGTGAAATTGTTTGAGAAACTTTTAAAAATGGACGATATTTGTTTTGTCCTATTGTTGTATACGTCGTGATATTCGAAAAATAACATTTACAGTATTTACAGTATATGCAATACAGCTTAACTTTATCAATGTTTGCATGGACTTTAAAAAAAGTTTAAATAACAGTCACTTTAACAATTGGATTGAAGGTTGGTGAAACCAAATTTAGAAGCATCGAGTCATTGGAATCTTCAATCTTAAAATAGAAAAACTTTAATATACAGTTATACAGTTAACCAAAGTTTAATTTTTTAAATTTTATTATAAAAGTAGTTTGGATATTCGAATTTTTCAAAAATGAGCGTGAAACTTCAATGAATAGTTTTATTGTAAATTAACTTTTTTTTTGTTTTTTTTAATCATAATAATATAAGATAAAATATAAATGTCGTATAATCGATTTATAATATAGTAATATATCTGTTATTGTAACTGTTTGTTACAATGCTAGTTTTCAAGTTCGACATGATAAATATGCATTAAATATTGTAAGTAAGAAGGAACTAAACTACAGATTAGTCAACTATACAATCGAACTAATAAAAATTGCACCAATTAAACTTCAAGATTTTTTTCAAATTCAAGACGTCGTCTTTTCAGATTTTTTTCCAAATCCAAAAGATATATTTTTTTCTTACCCTCTGCATACTTAAGGGCTTCATTCACCACTCTGGAATCATAACAATCCCAGAAATATTCAAACATCTTTTCAACTTGTTCCAATAACCCGTACTTAATAATATACACATGCAGAGACATTTGTTCTTTTTTGATGTTGGTAATCTTGATTTTGTGTTTATAAAATACAGCAGCAACACTTTTCAGGTCATCTTTTCCCCACGTGGTAAACATGGTTGCCGTTAGATGGTTGCAAAAAACTTGTTCGGATACAGGTTTCCCTCCTTTTTCTCCAAGCCATCTGAGAAGAGATTTTTTAAGTGGTCTTTTATAAAGCACCCATAGAAAGGGAGATAATCCCCTTTCATCGAGGACATTGACATCAATACCGGCTGAAATGAGAACGTCAAATCTTTCATAGATTGGAACAGAGAAATCACAGAGGTGATGGAGGGGGCTATATTCTTGGCCATCAAAGAACTTGAAATCTAGTAATTCGACGATTTTTCGAGTTTACATGTAATCTAGTTTGATAACTTGAAAATGCTCTCTGTGTCTTACCTTTCATAACCCAAGCGACTACTTCTCTGAATATTTCTATTTCCTTTTCCCGATTCTTACCCATGAACCCAATGTTCCTACAAATAAAACTAAGTAACCGTTTCTTAGACATCGGGGGATCCTCGGTCAATGTTTTCGACAAATGATTCAACATGTTAATGAGTGATTTGGGGGGACACGCAAGGACGACACCTTCAAGCATGTTCCTAAGATTTTACCATTTTTCAATTAACAAGACATACAGTATTATTATACAGGATATATTATTATATATGACATAACGATAAGAGTATGCACCATACGTACCCCTCATTGTCAATTTGTTTGTCTAGCTTCTTCAAATCGATTCGAATATTCCGACCTCTGGGAAAAGTGATCATCGAATCCTCCAGTTTCGCAAGATCTCCATTTTTTATATGTTTAACTATCCCTTCCATATCCAAGGTGTACTCTTGATGCCAACTATTTTGTGTTAACGAATCACACGATTGCAAGATACTAGAATCGCTTTGAGTATCCACGACGGGAACACATGGTGTTAAGGCTTCGGGTTGAGCAGGCACATCTTCCTCGATCCATCCTATTTCCTCAAGCTCTGCTAATTTTGCCATCACTCTATTGACCGATGGGCGCTTTTCCGGATTGCCATTCCAGCAGTTAACGTAAAGTTCCACGTAACTTGACGGGGTCCCAGGGGTGGGAGTTTCACGCCCGCCTTTGGCAATGCAGGCTAAAATGATGACACGTAGCGATTAAATAAATTTTTATTTATAATGCTGAAATTCGACACTTACAAAGAATTTCCTGACGAGATTTCCCAAAGAATGGCGTTCGACCACTAGATAATTCCCAGAGTAGAACACCAAGACTAAACACATCAGATTTCTCGTTACGGGGAATTTTGGGATCATGACAATGTGGATCGAAATATGCTGGATGCGCATTCGTGTTGTAGCTATTTTTAATTTCGTCTAATCTCTTGGATAGTCCAAGATCCGCAAGTTTGATGGTATTTTGATGGACCAATATATTGGTAGAACTCTATTGAAACATACATTATAGCCGATAGATAAATCACGCATTTAAACTTTACGGTCCTTCTGCTTACCAAATCCCTATGAATGATGCCTTCTTCATGAAGGCACATGAGACCACTTGTCATTTCTCTGGCAAGGCGCAACTTAACACTGCCATTAATTCTTTCGAAATTTTTCTTCAAGTAGTCTCGAAGAGAGCCTCCATCCGCGTATTCTAGAACAAGAGCATAGTTGTCTACCCCTAAAGATAAATTTCAAGTTAATATTCTGATTGGGCACACAAAAGTCTAATGATGAAATCCATAGTAACCTTTACGCGAAACGCAAAAGAATTTTAATATATATGGATGAAAATTAATTTGGTTTGACAGCTATAAAAATCAAATCCAGAATATACACCGTGAAACGCAAACTCTGGGTCAACGTTGCTTCATGATGTCATTATAAAAATCGACATACTTCTTTGATAAATTCTTTGTAAATTTCATCGTTATCTTGAGAATAATCAAAAGCATTTATACTTTTCAGGGCAACGGTTAATTTTACACCGCCTGTTACCCATTCGGCACGACTGACTTTACCGAATGCGCCTGTGCCAATTTCTTGTATATTTTTAAACCGCGAAAATTCAATACATTTAACGTATCTTTCTTCAATCGCCTTTTCTAACCATTGCTTTCCCGAAGAAAGCGGTTTTCTTTGGTTCCGTACAGACACGCTCGACATCTACGCATTAGTAAATGTCAAGAACGCTGACTATTTATTTGTCTAATGTTTCACAGAGATTCTGTTTCTTCTTCTACATACAATTGATAAGGTGTCGTAGCTTGCTTCCATCTTAATCATTTGACCCATTGTTTATCAACGATGTACAATCATTTGATCCATTGTTTATCGATGATTGACCAAATTAGTATCGAGAAGCTTTCTTGGCAAACGTTCCATGACACGTAACACAGAAAGTACCATTCATTATACATTTATACAACCGCTTTGATACGAATATCACTTTATTCAACGATGTCTAATTCTCACCAGGAGAGCGCTTCGTTTGACCTTCCTCCCCCTCAGGCTCCCGAAGTTATTAATAGACCTCTGCCTAATCTCCCCTCTATACAGGCACCATTATATTCAACCATATCTGATTCTTACGAAGAAAAAAACATCTCAATTGAGATCCTCCCTTCCCAGCAGTCTCTTGGAGAAGTACAGAATATTCATCCTCTTCCTCCTGCACAGAACGATCGTCCTCTTCCTCCTCTTCCTGATAATCCCCCGCTGGTCAATGTAGTCCAAGACATAAATCGTAAGTATTCAGTAATTCATAGGCACAATTAACCGAACCAATTAGAATTTAAATAATTTAACTATGATTTTTTATAACAGGCAAAATGTTCCCATTTGAAACAGAGTTTACTCATGGTGATAAAAAATCGTACCTTATTTTCCGCATTTGTTTTTGCTGGTGCACTTTTGTAGGTATTTTATTAAATGTTATGCTTAACGCTTGTTGAGCCAATTCACATCTTGCATCTACGGCATATCTCAGGTGTCTCTCTCACTGATTATTTTTTTGGCGGCTGAAGCGATAGTTTTTTCTAAAAGTCTTGATTACGCTAATGATCAGCTTGGTCCTTTCAAAGCAAAAATGAACAATCCACTGATTCCTTGGTCTATCGTCGCCGTTGTCGCTGCTATAGGTGTTGCATTTGGAGCCTGGTGAGTAGATTTAGATCGCTTTGTATTTAGACATTATCATTTCCAAAATAATTGATAGTCGTGCCATCATCCCAGTCTTTGCGTTTAACTTCTCTATCATGAAGAAATCGATTGTCTATTTTGGGATGACATTCCCGGTTTTGATACATATACTGTAAGATTATCTAAATTAATTTCAATAAAATATAAATGTCATTTATTTTTTGATACCGGAGGAATAAATTTGACCCGAAACCGATTTTTGGTTTCATCTTTTGCAATTTTAGAAAGTAATTGTGTTTCCATTTAAGTATAATAATCACATGAACATGCATTTGCTCCCGATTATATTTTTGATGAAAAAGTAATACCATTATTAGCATTATTAACGCATTGGTATAAAACCAAAGATCAATAAAGCGATGGTTCTCAATATTATTTTGCTAGTGCGTATTAAAAAAGAAAACGTCAGTACCATGATAAACTTTATTGAAATGAACTACAGTACTTCAATGAATTACGAAAATCATTTTTTACATAAACAAGGTTTATCGTAAAATAGTAATAATACTCTGTGTGTCATAAAATTACATTAGAATATATTCAAAGTGTAAAAAATTTTTCTATCGAATTAAAAAACAGTAAATCAAATTAAGGTTATACTGTATATCAAATACAAAAAAAAACAGTTTTTTTAAAAGGTAAAATTACTGATAAGCGCTGTACAGCAAAAGTCAAATTTATAAATAAATATTTACTGTTTCACAATTAAGGAAATAACATATATAGTATATCAAGAGCCGATTATACTATACAAGTACGTGTTAATTGTGTTAGTTGATAAATGTATTTATTAATTATTGCATACCAAATCACTGCGGATTATTAATAATAAGTGGAAATGGACGCATTAACATCAATGAAAATATAGAATACAAGAAGAAAATTTTATCCTAACGTCATACTGTATATACTGCATGTTTTTAATATTTCTCTGTTCTCACCTTCTTACTAATTAACTAGCGAATCTCATCATTGACCCGATCCTTCAAAACTCACAATTCTTCAGTAATGCAAATAAATTCCTTATTGATAGTGTAACAGGGAGAAATGGGACGCGACATTAGTCACATGACCGATCGACGTGACAATGGTAAGTCGGCTGTGATAATTAGGTAATAAAGGAGATTGTGAAAAGAATTATGTAATTTAGCTTTAGCCATGTCGCTGTATCATTAATTATTATTACGTCTAAGCCGCCATAGCCAAATGTAAAGTATAAAAGAATGTAAAGTGTAAAGGGAGAGACACAATGAACAAGTGAGAAAATTAATAAAGACTCGGTCAAATACAAACACGCCTAAAATCACCCTTTCATTTATTTACCCAGTAACGGTTACGCGAATCTCTGCTAGAGTTAGCGACTGACTCGCCGTTACACCGTTACAATAGTATAGTCAACTCGACATATTGTTATATTTAATTCCGGATAGGCAATTCTTGCAATGCTGTAATCCTTGTTTTTTCATTTCTAATAAGTATTTACTGTATATGACCATTTAGTAGAATCCGAAGACAATTACACAAAAACTTGTCCGATTTGAGTAACTTGCCGCAGACCTCATCTAACTGGTGAAAAGTATCCAAATACATGACGATTGGGTTGTAGCATTATGGCCAAATGCTAAGTGTGCAGTGGGAAATATACGCACTTCTGCTTTATACTGTATATGAATATAACTTTGATTTTTTTAGATTTTGTCACGAGTTCTAGCTTGATTTTAAATATGCATACTTTCTTTAATAATTAATGATCATTGAGCCGTGATTCCTCCCCACGAAAAATTTGACAAGTTGCATGACATTATTTCTCCGAACCATCTTAACTAACACGGAAAAGACATAGATTGTGAAAATTTACGGAAGGTTTCCAGTTAAAACTTCTTCTGAATGTATTCATATAATTGAATACTTGATTGGATCGATTCTAGATAAACTGTTTCTTTATCCATCTATAAATTGTTTGGTAATTCATATTTATCATAAGAGTTTGGTATGCCAATATACAGTATCAGCAATAACACAAATGAACTAACAAAATGTAAAAAGTACACTTGTTATTTTTCCAATCTACTGTATATAACCATCATTTAATAATCCATTTAATTTACTTATGAAAATACTGTATATATGATTGCAAGTAACAGAATATTCTGATTGGCAAATCCGAAAATGCAGACAACTTCTTCCAGGATCTCCATAAATTCTTTGAGGATAATTTCATTCAAGGCAAATTGATTGAAGGCAATTCCAGAACTTGGTTCAAATATAAATGCTAGTAAAAGAATATTATTGGTGAACTCTCAAGCTCTATGGTAGGCCTCATATTTGTCATCTCTTCGGAAAATGACATAATTCTAACGAAATGGTGAAATAATTTATTTAAAGTCTTGCAGAAGTAGAAAAAAACTAATTACATATGGAAATATGTTTAATTTTTTATTCTTTTTTCCGAGAGCAATACAAACAATTTGTCAGGTCCTTATAATCTTTTGAAAACTGTTTGATCATATTACCTAAAATTGAAAGTTTGTTTGTCTATATTTTAACTTGAAATATTTTTTTTATCAAAGTTTTTAGTCTACCTTTTACTCTATTTACTTTTCAAAAGCCTTTTTAATTAAAATCTTCTTAATTAATTATTAATTATTTTATTTTTTCTTATATAATTTTTGACCAATCCATTTTGTAAAGATCTTTTTTGTACAATTCTTTAATGTTATCAAAGCTTATAGTTAATATCAATTATTATTTTATAGAATCTTTGATTCTCTTTTAACTTTTTTGGAGAAAAATTTTACTTTATTATTTAAAATATCTTTATAATCTATCTTATTTAGCTTATTTAAATTGTAATTACCTTTTTATATACTGTATAATATCTATATATCTTATTAATAATTATCAGCTTTATATTTTTTGAATTTTGAATTTTTATATGTTTAATATGAGAATTATACAGCTTTAAAAAACATTAATATATACAATACTGTACTATTATTTTAATTTGACTTTTTTGAAATGATACCAATAAAATAAAAACAATTATAATATTTTTGTTTGTAATATTAAAAATTGTTTGTTTGTTTTGATTAAAAAAAAATTCATATGCATTTAGCTTTTTTATTATTTATTTCTTGATATTTCATTTTTTATTTTCATTTTTTTTTCTTATAATTAAAATTATTTCTAAATATAATTTTGGAAATAAATAAAATTGCTTGTTTTAATATACTTGTTTTGAAGTATATTTTAAAGTTATTGTTTACAATTTATTACTATGATTTGTCTTATTAAAATATTAATTACATTTTATATTCCTAATTATTATTTTTTCTTTTTTAATTTTACTTTAAAAAACTTAAAAAGTTTTTTCATAAGTCTTTCTTTTTTTTGTTACTTAATAAATTGTTTTGATTGGATTTTTTTTATTAAAAATTGAAGATAATAATATATGTTTCTTAAGTTATTCTTTTTTTTTCTTATAATTTATTAATTTTTTTTCTTTTAAAAAATTCAAATAATTTTAATAATATATATAACTCTATCTCCTTTTCATTTTTTTTTATTAATCTATATTTTAAAAGTTATTGTATTTTTGAACTTTTTATATTTGAAATTTCATATATGTTATTTTAAAAGCTTATATTATATTTTAAATATCTTAATTAATAGTTTTTATACTTAGATATAAAAAACTTGACAATTTGAAAACTTGTTTCTTATTTCAAAATATTTTTTATAAGCCAATATATATTGATTGTTTTTTTAACAGATTTAATATTTTTCTTTTTTTATTATTTTAAAAATTAAATAATTCTTTTTTACTTTGATTTTTTAAAAATGGAATATTTAAAAATTTATATCTTTAAAAGTTTTTCTTATATAAGTATTCATTTTTTTTTTTTTTTTTTTGAAGGAGCAATTGGCTATCGCGCTATCGTTTATTATTATAATTTTAGACTTGCGGGTTACAAGATTT